GAGGGGAGCAGGCCCGCGGGAAGGGGACTCTCCTCGTGCGTCAGCTTCTCATCACAAAATGTGATAGCTACTCCGACTGAAAAATAAAACAGGCAATGAAAGAAAGCCATTTATTACGGACTGGAAGCCATCAATTCACGAAGTGTCTTTCTTCACTGGAACTTTACTCCTTCCAGTGCATTCTGCTGTGAAAAGAGAGGAAAAGGGAGGATTAAACCCCGTGGCGTGCGTTTTTCCTTCTTCCTAAAGAGGCGCAGGACGCGGGATTCCTGGGCGCTATGTGAAAGGGAATCCATGGTGGCACCAGGGACCAGAGCATCTATGTGAAGCTGTGAGCCCTTGAAAGAAGAAAAGGAGGGAGAGACACCTGCTGAGAGAAGAGGAGGTAATCAAATCCGGGGAGCAGAAATGCAGCCCCAGAAAGGAAGCTCATCTCAAGAGCGTCCCTCGGGAAAGTCTACAGGGAGATGCTGGACTCAGGCTGATCTAAAGAGGTGCTGGTGGTGAGAGGGCGGAGGGAGGGAACTAATCAAGCCACTAAGGAGTAGGTGGGCTGCAGCTGCAGTCATTTGAGGGCACGGGTTGGAGGTGGGACTATTTATTCATCCATCCATCCCTTCATCCATTCAATAAACATGTACGCACTGAGTATCCACTGAGGGTTATGAAGGTTAGTAAGGCACAGCCCCAACCTCTGAAAGGGAAAGCAAGAACTCACAAGCTAGGAGAAAAGACAGAGGCAGTTAGAGCGCAGCCTGGTACAGGCAGTTCCAGAGAGTCCCACGTGCAGGAAACCTCAAGGAAAGGTTTCTGGAGAAGACATATGAGACAGACTCCAAGCATAAGATGGGGAGCAGGGTCACTGGGCCTGGGAGTGAAGGTCAAACCCAGACTGGGGGCCGGTGGAACAGTCAACCGTGTGACTCTTCTGTGTGAAGTGAAGGCTGAGAAGCCAGGGACACAGACAGGGACCCTTCCATTGAAGGGAGGGTCCGATTCTGCATGTCCCGAATCACTAGGGAGTTTAGACTCCACCTCCCAGGTGAACAGGACCTTGACCTGTAAGGGCTGGTGTTAAGATGTCTCTGGTGGCAGTATAGAGGTGACTTTTAAGATCATCAGGAAGGTGCTGACCACACCAGGCTAGAGTGATGAAGCCAGAGCACAGACAGGGTCAGCGCGGTGAAACAGTTCAGAGGAAGGACTGGCAGAACACAGTGACTGATTGGATGAGGGCGGGGAGGAGGTCCAAGACGAATCCGTTCCGGTCTGGGTAACTGGAGCTGAGCTGGATACAGGAAGAAGAGTAAGACAGTCCCAAAAGGACGAATTCCATTTTGAGTGTGCTGTGCAACATCCGGACGGAGTGTCTGGCACGCTGCTGTTTAATCAAGCCCGCAGTTCCGGCTAGAGGGACAGTGTGTGCGTAGAGGTTGGAATCATCCCCGAACAGGTGGGCGTCACGGCCCTGGGGGTGCGTGCGATCGCCTGGGAGAGCAAGGACAGTGAATAGAGGGAGAGCGGAGGCTGGAGCCCTGGTGAACGCCACCGCAGTCTGACGAGCAGGAGGAAAACGGAGGATGCAGCAAGAAGAGAGAGACGTCTTGGCTGGAAGGAGGGCCAAGGAGACCAAGTCTCAGGGGCCGGAGGATTTCAGGGAAGAAGGAAG